CTCTGTTTGCTCGTTGCAAAGAGGGAACGGGGATCGAGTTACAGGCTGTGTGGCAGCGTCACATGGCCTCACTTCCCTCTTGTGCCAGTCAGTGCAACGCATTTTTCAAGACAATTGCTCGCGCACCTCCTCTCCCTTGTGTGTTTTGCTTTCTGCCGTTAGTCAATCTCATATTTCAAATGCCACTGTATAATACATGCACACTTTCCAAGCAGACCCCTTACTGTTTATGCCTCTCCCTTTCCGCCCTCCATTCGTTATTACACGCTGCTAGCAGCACCACCGAATCTCCCTTACATCCCTCTCACGACTGTCTCCACCCCCTTTTCTTCATCCGGAAACGCCCACCAATCGTTTCCCCTGCCGTCGTTCAGTCCTGGCCTCATTCCTCCCCTCCCCTCTCCAATCCGTTTTCACTCTATCCCCTCCCTTCAAGAGCCTTTCCTCGGACTCCTTCGATCTTACTGCCCTGAAGCTTACTCTTTATTCTTGAACCCCTCCTGTCTCCTCTCTCCCTTCTCTCTCTCTCCTTCCCTCCGGCCATTCCTATCCTCAATCTCTTTCCTGCCGCCCTTCTTCCCCTTCTCTTTCCAGGGAGCGTCCCCGCCGTCGGGGCTTGGCCGGCGAGGACGCCGGGGGCGGAAGGCGCGGAGGGGAAAGGGAAGAAGATCGATTGCCTGGAGAGGGGATGGGGGCCGTGGGGTCCACCGGCGGGGTGGTGACGCCTGCAGCCGTGGGAACGGCCGTGGCTTTCGTCCGGAAAATGCTGGTGAAAACGGGTCGCTTCCTGAGGGCGGCGACGAAGGAGGGAGAGCTCCGTCCCCCTCCTTCCCTTCCTCCTCTCCCTACCTCCAAGGTGCCCGCTTCGCCTTCCTTCGCCACGGCCTCCGCGTCTTCAGCCCCCTTCTCCTCGCCCGTTGCTTCTCCCAGTCCCAACGCCGACGGGAACGCCGCTCCTCCTCTTTCCCCTCCCCCTCCTTCCCTTCCCCCTTCTCCCTCCTCATTTTCTTCGCTCCTCCCCTTCCCTTCTTCCCTTTGGCTCCCGTCCAGGACCTCCTCTTCTCCCTCGTCCTGGTCTCCTCGTCCGGCCTTTCTCGAGCCTTCTCCCCTCCCTCCCTCCCCGCCTCCTCCTGCGAGGGAAGGAGGGAGGGCTTGAGGAGAGGCCACCTCCGTCGAGTTTCGGATCGGCGCCTCTGACGCCGCCGCCTCGGGTAGCGCTGCA